AATGATTAGGAATATATTAAATTTGATTTTAGTTTATGTAATGAAATAATAGTAGTTTTTAGTATATTTAAAAACTTAGTTGATAATTACAAAATTTATACTTTAGATGAATAGAAAATTATGTAATAATAAATATCAGAAGTAATATAAATTAAATAATTTATATTTTTAATTTTAAAATATATTTATATATAGATATTGAATAAATAAAAAGGAATTATCTTAAATATTTTAAATAAAGACCCAAACGTAAAAAAAAACAATAACAGCTTATAATGTACTAAAAAATAATTTGAGTAATGTATTACTTAATCATAAACTAATTTAAATAAATAATAAATTGATTTTCTATATATGAAGCTATTTATATTTTCAAATGATATTAATAATATATAATTTGAATAAATTTTTAACATATTTTAGTAATAATGAAAAAAAATCCTAAAATTTTTATTTTTTCTACAAAAAAAAATATTTGTATTATAAATTAATTTTTTGTTTTCTACTTTTTTGATATAAATAATTATAATTTAAAAAATAAAGCAAAATTATATTTTTTTTTATATAATTATTTAAATTATTTTTATATATTCTTCTACTTTATTTATATTTTCTTTCTTATTTATATTTTCTTTTTAAAAACTATTATATTTTATTTTATAAAAATAATTAAATTTTGGGAAATTTAAATTAATCTCTTATTTTTTTGTTTTTATTTTTTTAAATGACATCTGTATTTCAATTTAAAGTTATTTGAAAAAACATAAAATTGATAATGTAAAAAGAAAAAGAAAAAATTATAATAATTATAAATTTTATAAAAATAAAAATTAAAAAAAAAAAAAAATTGAAAATAAAATAAAATAAAATAAAAGAAAAAAAAAAAAAAAAAAATTTTACAAAAAAAAAGAAAAAAAAAAAAAATACTAAAAAAAAAAAAATACTAAAAAAATAACAATAACGACGTTGCACTAAAATATAAATAAAAATTACCACCAAAAAAAGAAAAAAAAAAAAAAAAATTAAAAACACAATGAAAACTCTCTCATTTAAACTAATAAAAAAATTGTAATAAAAAATAAAAACTTTAATATAAAAAAAAAAAAAAAAAAAAATTAAGTATAACAAACACTTCTTAACCATTTAAATTTTGTTCTTCATAAATACAAACATAAGCCTATGAATATTTCATGGACGAAGACTACCATAAAAGTGCTGAATATTTTTAAATATTATCCTAATTAGAGCCTAATAATATTTAATATATTCTAAACTATTCTATAAGCTTATAGAAATTAAATTTACATGAAACAGCTTTAAATTAGTTAAAAAATATCGAAAATTAGGATATAAATCCTTTCTTAAAAGCTTCTGTGTATAGAACTAAAGCTGAATCTTTATCTTAAATTGGAAAAATTTCCGAAGCAATTCTATATTTTGAAAAAGCTTCATATTTAAATGGATAGCATTATCTTTCTTTTGGTGACTTTTGCTTAAAAAATGGTTTATATGAAAAAGCTATTCATAACTTTACACTAGGAGCCCAAAATAAGAACTTAGACGCTAAAGAAATAATGGAAAAAAACATATAAGGATTATTTGAAGGGGGATACTATGACATTTGTTTTGATTTATGTGAAAAATATATCCTTTTTTTTTCATATGGGATTCAAAATAATGGATTTTTAGGAATTTATTTTGGTGTTAAATGTCTTTTATGTTTAGGCTAAAACGAAAAAAGTGAGCAATTTTGGAAAGTAGCAAAAAATCTTGGTAAAATATAAGAAAAAGAGTTACTTTTTTGTAAAAAAAATACGAAGAGAATATTTTTTTGATAGATATTTTAAAAAAAATAATCAATTAAAAAAGCAGTGTTTTTTTTGGGAATTTTTACTTGAAAAAAAGCTTAGAAATTATGAAAAAAGTTAATTTTTTTTAGAATAATATATAAAAGAAGGAAAAAATAATGAATTAAAATAGTTTGAAAACTTTTATTTATTCGAAGAATTAAAAAATATTAATAATTAAGAAAAACTAAATCTTTTTTGTGAAAACTAACTTTTAACATTTGAAAGAATTAAACTATTATAGAAAATCTACCCAAACTTTTGAAAAAAACAAAAAAAACCAAAAAAAACAAAGAAACAATATTTTTAGGAAAGAATTTCACTTTTGATTGATTTCTATTTTTTTTTTTTTTTTTTCCCTTAAAAGAAAAAAAAAAAAATTTCCTTTTTAAATAAAAAAAACCTTTACTTCTTCTTTTTTTTTTTTAATAATCTCTTTAAAGCTTTTAATTTTGAAATTAACTTTCCTTTTTTTTTTTGTTAAAAGAATTTTTTTTTTTTTTTTTTTTTTTTGGGGGGATAAATAAAAAAGAAAAAATTACTATTTTATATATTTAATTATATATATTTATTTTTTATTTTTTTATATATTTTTAATTTTTATTTTAATACTATTTTATTATATTTTAAATATTTATTTTTATTATCTAAAATATATTGAAACTTTATATTTAAATTCGTTTTTCTTTTATAAAAATTAGATATATTTAAGGTAAATCTATATATTATATATAAAAATGTAAAAATATTTTAATTTTTTTAAATCTAAGAAATAGTTATGTAGTAGTTATTAGCATTAATCTTATAATAATTTCATTCTATTAATTCTTTATTAAATTTTATTAAATATGTTTTTAATATAATTAAATATGACTTATAAATTATTTTAGAATAGTTTTTTAAAAATATAAAAAATAAAAAAAAAAGTAATTGTTTAGTTTTCAATAAATATCTTCAATAAAAAAAATATTATTAAATTACAATTTCATAAATATTTCTTTTAAAATATATTTTTTTAATTTCATCATTTATTATTATAATTATTTTTAAATTTATTTTTTTACATTTTCAAATTCTTTTCATTAATATAATAAAAAAAATTAAATTTAATCAAAATATTATATAATTCATATATATTTTATATTATTATTTTTTAAAAAAAAAAATTGATAAAATCTTAGTAATTATACTTACCGTTTATTTAAAGAAATATTTTTATTAAATTAATTAATTCATTTATATTACAAATAGATTATTTATTTATCTATATTTTATATTTTTAAATAATTTATTTTATATAATAAATAAATATAGTTGAGATATAATTTATATATTTAATTATTAATATTATATTACATTTATAATAAATAAAATAATTTATTTAAAATATTTAAAAAGTAAAAATTATTAAATTATTATTATTATAATAAATTTAATTTTATTATATGATAAATTAATATTTTTTAAAAAATATAATATGTATTTATAATTTATTTTGTAAAAATGAAAAAATATCAATTATTATATTAATTTATTATTCAAATTAATTTTATATTTTTCATAATTATTTTTATCTGAATTATATAATTTTAGTAATTATTTCATTTTGATTATTAAAAAACTTTATTTTTAAAATTATATATGTTTTTACAATATATTTATATTATAGTTTATGTATAAGAGTTTTATTAACAACAACAAAAAAAGAAAATAAAAACTATTTTATATTGAATTTACTTATCTATTAAATTAAATGCTTTTATTATTATTAAATTGTTTTATAATTATTTATATTTTCTAATTAATTATTAAATTATTTTTTTAAAGATCATCTTTTTCTAATTTTTATAAAATTCTAACAATTATTCAACATTAATTTTTAAATTGAATTTTTTTAATTTTAATAATACCTTCTAATAAATATTTTATAAATTAGTTTAGATTTTATATATAAAAATAAATAAGAAACTAAATAAAATAATATAATATCAAATACATTATAAATGTAAATATATTATTAATATATATTTTTATTATATATTCTTTATTATATTTAAATTTAACTTATTTATATTCTTTATATCTGTGTTTGAAAAAATAAATAATATGTAAAATAAAAAATACATAAATACATTTATTTAAATAAATTACATAAGATATTTTTTATCAAAATATTTAAATAATATTTCGAAATTCTATTTTATAATTAAAATAAACTATGAAAAATAACAAAAAAAAATATTTTACATTTTTTTTTTTTTTACAAAAAAATTAATAAATAATTAACAAATATAGAAACATATAAAAAAGATATACTTAAAAAGTAATTGATATAAAAAATTATTATATTATATTGTTAAAATAGAGACTTTAAAAAAAATATTAAGTTTTGATTTTTTCTTTCTTAAAATATTTTTTAAAAAATAAGAAAATTATAATTTTGTAAATACCAATAAAAAAATGCTTTAGAAAATTAATAAATTAATACTTTAATATATATAATCAATTATAATTATTAGAAATATTTTATTTGTTATAATAAAGAAATATAACTTGAAGATATATCATATAATATTTAATAATTAATTATTAAAATATATTTTTTGGACAAAAATTAGAAAAAATTTTAAATAATTATTTCAATAAATATATATATATATATGTTTATTAAATAAATTAAAGATTTAATAAAAATAAAAATTATTCTCTAAAATTAAAAATGTTTTAAAATAATAAAGTATAATTACAGATTAAGTTTATATTAAATTAAAACCCTTAAATTTCAAATTAAAAATAAAAATATTTTATTTTTTATTGGTTAATGTCTTTTAGATTATTTTCTTTCTTTTTCTACAGTTTAATATAAAAAGTAACCTTAATATTTAATTCATAAAGTAAATAAAAATCTTATAATTTAAAGTTTGTAAATTAAAAATGAATAATTATGAAATTAAAGAATTATAATATTATTTAAATAAAAAAATATTGAGATAAATTTCTTGGTTTAATAGAATATAAGAGAATTATATCAAAATTATTTATTGATTATAAAAATATTTATAAAATGATATTTCTTATTATAATTAATTTCTTACTTTTTATATAAATTAATAATATTCAATACTTAAATTTATTATAAGAATAATAGAAAAATCAGAATTATTCTTTATTAATTTTTAAAATTTAATGAAAAAAAATAATAAAAAGAATATATATTTAAAAAAGCTTTATTTCTATTTTAATTTTTTTATTTTATTAATAAAATTGTATTTTTTTAAATAACTAATAATTTTAATGATAATGATGTTATTATTTTTTTAGAAAAAAATGAATATTAATATAACTATTTTTTGTTTAAAATCAAGTATACTCTTTATTTTATTTTTTGTTTAAAAAAAAAAAAAAACTCAACATTAAATATTTATTTAATTAATTTAAGTTTCAACATAATAACTAAAAATTTAAGTTTATAAGAAGCTTTTAAAAAATAACTTATCACTTTTATATTTAATGTATTTTTAGATTTCACTTAAATCAACCATTTCTTACTTATTATTAATTTCACCACTTTATTAAGGCTATTTAAGTTTAATTAATTAAATTTAATTTTAAAAATTTTGTGCTTATTCTTTAATAGGCTTAGTAATGCATTCTTCTAAAACATTCCTTAATTTTTCAAGAATAATAATCATATTATTCCACTATCTTTAATTAGGTTCATAAATCAATTTTTTAAAAGCATTTTTACTTTACTTATTTAAATTAAAAAAGTTATATTTTTTCGATGACATCATATTTAATTCTAAATAATTTTTAATCAAATCATTTTAAACCTCCTTAAAATGAGGAATATATTTAGCCAAATCCGCCGCATTCAAATCATCTACAATAAACTCATTCAAATCCAAATCATAAACAAACTTTTCTTATAATTTATATTCATTACAAATTTCTATTTAAGCTTACTTATTAGGAACATTTACCCCTATAATACAAGGTACAGGGGAATCTATCATATCATAAAGCTATACTGGAAGACTAAAAATAATAGGATGAGGGTATAAAAAGGGTCTTAAGCTACTGGCAAAAGTCTAAATTGAAGTTGTAAGAAGAGTGATATTTTAAGAAAAGAAAATTACATTTTTTTCCAAAGAAATACACGTAAAAAGGAACAAAAAGTCATCAAAAGGAATATTCGAAAAAGTCAGAGCAGATCCCCATTCGACTTCTAAAAAAGGAAGTCTTGTTGTACATGGAATCATAAATTACTTATGTTAAATATTTCCATTACAATCATAATTAAAAAATATTTATCTACAAGGGTGCGGCATTTATTTTTAGGCTTGATTAAGGTAAGTTTTTAGAGAAGAAATTTGGTTGAAATTTTCCACTTATTTGTATATATCTAAGGTCATTTTTTTTAAGTTTTTTCCTCATCAGTTAACTATTCCGAATTTTAAATTTATAAATATTAATGTATTCTTGCTATTTTTAAAGTATTTATTATTTCAGTTATTATATCAAGGAAAAACTTCATAAAAGGATAATATGTCATAAAACAATATATAACAGGAACTACACATATTGAATTATATTCAGGAATAAAAACAAAATCTTCATTTTAATAACATATACAATATATGCTTTTTGAAGGATTACATTTATCTAATGTAATATTTGATAAATCTGAATTTTTACTATTGCCCATTAGGGTAAAAAAAAAAGTACTTTGGGATAAATTAGAAGCATTTTTGCAAAATATTTTCATTTAAATTTAATCCTGGATATGATCGGGATTTTAAATTGCATATTTTACACCAAAAGGGAAACAAAAATCCTATACTGATTTTCTTTTTTGGCATTATTCAAGAGGAATTTCTCCAGGAAATTAAAGGTAGGTTTTCTGTGTAGAAAAGCCTTCTTTTTTATTTTCAAGTTTAGATTATAAATCGAGCCTTTCGGGGCCTATAATAAAGAACTCTTCGAATAAAAAATTGGCTGAATTTTTATTTTCTTGAAAAAAATGACTCTTTTGTAAACAAGAGTTTGTTATATCTTCTGGAACTGTTTCTTTTTGATTTATTAAATTGTATTTTTCTTATTATATTATTATTAATGAAGGAATGGAATGTAATAAATTTTAGTTTTTTAAATTAATTTAATTTTATTGTTTATGAGTTATGCTTGTGTAATTTTTTTCTATTTTGGGCTTTTTTTCATTTGATTTAGAATTTTTTTTAATATCTATTTCTTTATTGGAATAATATTTGGATTTTTCTAATTTTTGTTTTTGTTTAAGTCTTTCATTTTCAAATTATAATTTTATACATTTTAATTCTGTTTTTGCTAGTTTATCAATTAATTATTGATGATCTAATGTTTTTATGTATTATTAGAATAATTAAAATTATTTCATTTATTATTATAAATTCATTTTCTTATTTATATTATGATATTTTTTTTATTATTATTTTTTTTAAAAAAAAAAAATCAAAAAAATTATTAATTTATATTTTTTTTGGAAAAAAAAAAATTAAATTAATCTTAATATTTTCTTATTCTAAAAATGATCTAAATTAATATTTTAAAAATTATAAATTTAAATATATATAAAAAATAAAATTAGATATATTGTTTTTGTCATAAATTTTATAATAATTGTAAATGATCAATAACATTTATATTATAAAATATAATATATTATATTTTAAATATATTTATTAATTTTATAATTTATTAAATCAATTTATAATTTAATATTTAATTAAATGTTATTTAATTTTTATATTTATTTTTTAATTTTCCTTTATAATTTATTAAATAATTAATTAATGTTTTTATATTATAATAAATAGTTTTTAGATTTTTAAGGGTTATCTTATTAGTTTAAATTATATAAAAATATGTGATTTTTTAAAATAAATTTTGCGAGGAATATTGGCATTATAAAATAATTATTTTTTTATAAATTAGAGTATAAATACTTATTTAAAATTATACTTAAATATATATTAAATTAACTTGAATTTTTATATAAATATACTTTTTTTTTACATCTTTTTAGTACAAAATATGATCAAAATCCTTAATAAATAACTATATGATGGAAAAAAATTAATTTGCATTAAAAATTGATTAAATTAATTTTATTTAGAAGTCTTATTATAATATTTCATCAAAAAAACCAATTTTAATTTTTAAATAAAAAAGAATTAAAATATAATAAAATTAATAAAAAAAATATACAAAAATTGAATTTTTTTTCACTAATTGTTTCAAAGATTTATACAGTTGTCCAAAAAATGAAAATATTATAAAAATTTTAATTAATCTAATATTATAAAGTGTAAAAATTATTTAATAAACAAGTAAAATACCAAAATATTTCAGTTAAAAAAATAGCATAATAATAGTAGTAAAATACTTGTTAAATTTGACAATAATTATTAAGTATATAGACTTAATTAATAATAATAATTCTTTTTTTAGTTTCTAATATATATAATTAATTTAATAACATGCTATATAATTTAAAATACATAAAAAAATAAATATATAACTAATAAAATAAATAAAGACTATAAAAAATGAACTTATTTTAATTATAAAATGTATCAAAGAACTTGAAGAAAAATAAAAAAAAATTATATAAAAATTAATTGAATTTATTATATTTAATTTCCAAATAATTATTTATATAATATAACACAAAATAATTAACAATATTCAATACAAATTAATAAATAGAAAAATTTATAAAAAGTAATAATCAAAAAGATATATTACAAATAAAAATATAATATAATAAAATTAATAATATATTTATGATTTAATTAATAAAGAAGTATATCAATTTAAATATTTAATTATTTATTATATACATTAAATGTTTCATTATAATAAATTATTTGATTCTATAAACAATTTCTTATTTTACTAAAAAAATAATAATATTAATATAATTTTTAAAAATAAGCAATAAAAATTGTAAACTTTAAAAATATGCTTAAATAAAAAAAACTTCATAACAATCAAAAAACTCAAAATAAAATGTAATAAAAGTAATATATATAATAGATCAGCAAATTATAAATAAAATAAATATATTTAAATAAATCAAGTTTTTTTATAAAATAAATAAATAAAAGTTAATAAAATTAAAAAACAATATTAAATAAAGATACATAAAGTAAAAAATAAAAAGAATTTTTATTTTTATAATAAAATAATAAATAAAATTAATTTTAAAAAATAAATAAAAATATTTTTATTTTTAATGAATTTGTTATGCTATTAAAATTAAACAAGCCAGTTAAATATATTTTTATTAATTAAAAAAAATAGATAAAAAACTATGAAAATTATAATTAAATTAAGGAAGGCTAATAAAATTTTTAGATTACAATTATAAAAATTTATAAATTTAAATATAATAAAAATTTAATATATATATAAATATATTTATATTTATATTTTTTCAATTTATAATTAACTTTATTTTATATAATAAACTTTTTAAGTATCCTTTAAAATATATAATTATAATTTTTTTGTCTAAGAAAAATCATTTTTTTCCAAATATTTCTGATGCTTTTTAATAATTTCTATTAGGCCTTTATATCCTTTAATTTAGATTGCTTTTAGGAATATTAAATGGGTTATTATTTTTTAAATTATTTTATTACTATGTATTAGAATTATTATCTTAAACTTTTTCTTTTTATTAAAAATCATCACTTTTTTTATTTTAATATATATTATTATTTTATTAAAAGTCAATATTTTATTAAAAACCAATATTTTATTATAAATTATTATTTTATTATCCGTCTGTTTAGTTTTCTTATAATAATTAAATATTTTACTACTACTATTCTTATTATAATAATTAGTTATTTTCTTAATTAATTGGTTAATATTCTTAATATAATTATTCATTGTTATTTTAAATGTTATGTTAATATTCCTAATTTAACTATTAATTATATTAATCTTAATTTAATTATTAACTATTATCTTAATGATTATTATATTATCCTTATTATAATTATTAAGTATTATCTTAATTATTAGACTAATATACTTAATATATTTATTAACTATTTTATTAATAATTTATTTAATGTTCCAAATAATTATCTGTTTATTATTATTATATCTACTATTAATTATCAAATTAATTATTTACTTAATATCCTTAATATACTTATTAATAACTATTATTTTATTAATTAATTTAATTATAGACAACTTAATCATTATTTTCTTAAAAAGAATTTTAAATAATATTCTAATTCTGAATATAAAAGCCTGATATTTCTTATTTTGAATTATTATTAATTTCATTATTTTCCAAATTCAAATTTTAAAAATTATTACTTTTATTTAAAATATTCTATGAATCTTCATTAAGAGAAATTTTTCGTGAAACACTTTCTGTTTTTTTTTAATTTTAATTTAAGAAATCAGTTAACAAATTTAGCTTTAGGATTATGTAATTTATTTTTAAAATTCAATTGTTTATTTTTCAAATGATTATATTTTCTAATCTATATTTTATAAATATTACTCCGAATATAAATTACAATTATTTTATTAAGCTTATCCTTATTATTAACTTAATTTAAATCTTATTTATTATATTTAATTTTATAATTAGTTCAATTATTGTTCTATTTATTCGATTAAACTTTATTCATTTATGTTTAGTTGTAATTTTTTATTAGATTTACTATAATTCTATTTTCTCATTTTTTTTAATATGTATATAATTAAATATGTAAAAAATATATAATTAAATGGTTCATGTGTTTTTATGTATTAATAAAACGGAAAAATACATCAGAAATGCAAAAATCAATCAAATTAGAAAAGTTTATTACTATATCTTGATATTATGTAAATATATTTACACTTTATTCTTCATTATTTAATTCTTAATATTATTGATATTAATCAATATTTTCACTTTATTTATCTTTATTTTATTCTTAATATTAATCTATATTCTGAGTTTATTATTTATTATTTAATTTATAATCTTAATGATATTAATCTTCATGATCTTAAATTTAGGCTTAAGTATTTTCTATTTGATAATTAGTATCATTAATAAAATTTTAATTTTAATTATTATTCTAATTTTAATTCTAGTTAATGTGAATATTAGTTTCTATATTATTACTATTATTATTATTTTAATCAAATTTAATATTGTTTATTTATTATTCATTTTCGTTTATAATTTACTCTTAATATTATT